AGTCGATCGGAATCTATTTGAGTCGGTTGAGTCGGTCTGAGTTACTTTGAGTCTGCCTGAGTCGTTCTGAGTCTATCTGAGTCTCAGTCGATACTGATAGCGTGGTACGTTCTCTTACCCAGTGACGTCACAGCATGCTTCGGCTTGGCACGGTGGCCTAATGCTGCCTAATACAGGAAACCTTAACCTTGAACGAAAACGCTACCGGTGACGCCAGGGTTACCGATACCGGCGTAGGTAGGTAGGTAGCTGACTCAATATGTGTGGTCGGGTGAGACTTATAAATATTTTGTGTAAAAAGTATTGTAAATATTTCATTAATGTGTGGTATCACCTTTCAAGCTTATAATGCGCGCTGACATGCGTCGAATGGCCAACCTTTTACATGTCATTTTCTCTTTTTTTCTTCAAGGAAAACCGAGGGGATCCATCCAAACCCTCCCCCTAGTGCCAGTGTTAATATGATGCATTGCAATTGGAAATGTTTTGTGATAAGCAATGCCATTTTTAAATTTGATACATTTGAAATACAGAACTGCCGAAAGAGGTACGGAAAGCAATGACATTTCAGTGGTCTTCGTTGTGTAAGTGATGCAGGGGCCCGGGAACGATTTTCAAGTTGGGGGGGGGGGCGAGCCTAAAATGCCCGACATGATGCATATGAAACAGTGGCGTAGCTAGGGGGTCTAAGGGGACCCGTACCCCCCCCCCCCCTCCCCACCGGGATAAAAGGGACTCTCGGGTCCGAGGGGCCCTGCGGCGCCATTTGACCGCTATGGTTAACGATGGCCATATTTCTACTCAGAAGGGCCCCATGGGGCTCGTTAGAGCACCTCATGGGCCCTAAATAGCCACACTAAGATCTCCATAAGGGCCGCCCCAAGCCGGCTTCTGAGGGCCTCTTGCGTCTTTTAAGGGCCCCTCGGTGGTCTCCAAAGGCCCGTTACTGGCCTCTGAGAGGTCTTACCGGCCTATGAGGCAGGGTTGTGCTCGACTCAAAAAAATTTGCCGACTCGACTCATCATTCAACCTCAGAAAGCCCTGACTCAACTCTGACTCAAACAAGGAGCTGATTTTTTTCCCTTGACTCGACTCATGACTCAAGCGGCTCAATGAAAATATGAGTCGACTCAAACTTGACTCAATTTTTTTTGTTGAGTCAAGTGAGTTGACTCAAAATTGACTCAGATAAAAAAGCTGTTGAGCGGGGGGGGGGGGGGGTTGAAAAAGTCCGGCAGCAGGGCCAGGGCGAAGTTGTTAAGCGGGGGGGGGGGGGGATGAAAAGCTTGTTTCGGGAAAGTTGAGTCAGCTGACTCATGTTCCTAAATGTTTGACTCAACTCAATGTCAAAAGTTATTTTACTGACTCAACTCTGACTCAACTCAACGCCTTAATATTTTTGTCCGACTCAACTCTGACTCAACTCAACAGCTCAACAATTTATCCGACTCGACTCAAATCTGACTCATTTGAGTCAGAGTTGAGTCAAATTTCTGACTCGACTCATGAGTCAAGCACAACCCTGCTATGAGGGGCCAGTTCTAGGGGCATTTCCCGCCTGTGATGGTCCCACACTTATTTTTCTGAGGGCCCCATAACGGCAACTGTGGGACCCTCGTCGGCGCCTATGAGGGCCCACACCGGTGTCTCTGAGGGCTTCACACCCCCAACTCATGAGTGTCTACACCAGTGCCTATTAAAGCCCTATATCGGCGGCTCTGAGAACCCAACCAACACCTGCGCATCTTAACCCTCGCCCGTATTGGTGTTTTTCCAGCCGCGAACGTATAAGGGGGGGGGGGGGTCCGTTGGACCCCCCCTTGCCGTTTCGCCCCTGATCGAGCTAGAGCTTCGCGGAAAAAACGAGCGTGTTGCCCGTGACAAGAGGGAGCCGATGATACCCAATTTTAAGGTCCTAGGTCATTGGTTGACCTTGCAGGTCAGGTCAATGACCCAAAAGTCGGGAAAATCGGGACCTGTTAGAACGTCGTAAAGTGTGGCTGCTATGGGGTTTTTCGGGGTGCTGATCACGAATATCATGTTAGTTTTGATCACAGATGATGTCTTCATGCATTTATTCCAGGTCGGGTCAGGTCAGGTCAGGTCAACCAGTAGGGGTCCTACCGGGTATTCCTAGTAGGTGTCAACCGCCTCTGACAGCTTCGTAACATGTTACGAAGGCACCAAAACTACTTCGTAAATGTTCATATGGTTGCTAAATTCGAATTCAGCTCCAAAAACTGGCCTAGAAACATGTAAAACTCAAAAAAGTGAACCGAGGTCATCAAAGGTCAATGACCTGACCTGACCTTCAGGTGACCTTGACACCCACTCTAATGCATGAGGGCAACACCATATCACATGTTTGAACGCTTGAAACCACGAAAAGACTGCAAACGCGCCGCTAATGTGAGCCGACATACGCCGAATCGCGATTCTGGCCAAACATGGTCTCGAAAAGTAGGTCACAGGTCAAAGGTCATTTGGGTCAGGGTCATGAAATTTTCAGGGTAGGTGTAAAATTGAATAACGCGAGGGTACTGAAAGTTTCGTCGCGATCGGCCGCTTTTTACGCGAGTTATTCGCGAAAAACCATGGGGGGGGGGGGGGTCCGTTCGACCCCTCCCCCCTATACGGGCGAGGGTTAAGGCCACCCACTGGTGACTTTTGAGGGCCCCACACCGGTGACTCTGAGGGCCCCACCGGCGTCTAACAGTACCACGCCGGTCTCTAAGGACCCCACAGGACTTCTGCCGGCCTAAGGACCCCTTGCCGGTCACTGATACCCCCTGCCGGCTTGTAGAGAGTTCGCGTCAGCAGCTCTAAAGGCCCCACACCCGTCTGTAGCGGCTCCACACCAGCGTCTATGAGGGCCCACAGCAATGCCTGTAAGGACCCTCATCAGTCATCGGCACCTCTGAGAGAATCACACTAGCACCTCTGAGCGCCCACACCGGCACCTGCATGGCGGGCCCCCACCGGTGCCTCTAAAGGCCCCTTACCGGCGGCTCTGAGGGCCCTACGCCGGTGATTCTGAGGGTGCTATACCGATAACCGAAGGCACCACACAAGCCCTTAGTGTCGCTGAGCTTTAATTCCATACCGGCCCTCCGACCGACATGACATGGTACCGCATGATAGGCTAATCGAAAAGTTAGAATTGTATGGCATTGATCATTTTTGGCTCTCTGACTATTTGAAAGGTCACACTCAACAGGTTCAGGTTTCTAATGGTGAAGGAACTGTCACTAGATCGACTGTGAAAGAAAACTCCGTCGGGGTGTATCAGGGAGGTTCCATGAGCTGCATACTGTGGTCAGTTTTTGCTAACGATTTGCACTTACACATACCCGACACAGTGCGAATCGTTCAATTTGCCGACGACACTCAGATCTGGACGACCGGTAAAAAGCAGGATCTACCGCTGCTAATTAGCAGGATTGAAAGTGCTCTCCACTGTATGTTTAACTGGTTTTGTGACCACGGGATGAAAGTTAACGCTGAAAAAACAGAGTTCATGATTTTTGGTTCACGTCAAATGCTCAGAGATGTCCCCTGCGATATCAAAGTAAATTTCGTTGGCTCCACCGTTACCTGCTCAAACCAGGCGCGAAATTTGGGTGTGATTTTTGACAGGAACATGACCTACCAGCCCCATGTAGACCAGCTCGTTCCGAAGTGCACCGGTATATTGATTGCCTTGAACCAAGCGAAGCATGTTATCCCCACTGGTACCCTGAGAACACTGATCACTGCGCTTGTCTTTTCGATCGTCCGGTATTGCATATCTGTATACGGTAGCTGCAACAAATCCCAGATTCATAGAGTTCAGAAGTTGGTCAACTTTGCTGCCCGTGTATTGAGTGGACGGCGTAAACACCAGCGCGTCTCAGATGTCATCAACGATGTTGGCTGGCTAACCGCGCGCGAGCTGTACCTGTACCACCGCATCATCGCTGTGCACCGACTCGTGACGCTACAGTTGCCCCCGCCGCTGGTTCGTACCATCGGCCGGCCCGCTGGTCAGCGGCACCGGCACCAGACGCGGGGTGCCGACCGCCTCACTTTGCCGCGTATCTGTACCGAGGCGGGCCGCAGGCGACTCTGCTACAGTGGTGTGACGGCGTACAATGACGTGCTTGCGTCGCGGGGCACTGTCAGCAGAGGGAGCGTCATTACCTATCTGTACAGGGCGCGGTGATAGGCAATCTTCTGTGATCAAACCGGCTGATTGCGGCATAACTTATTTACTGGTGTGTGTGTGTGTGTACATGTGCTAATGTTTGTGCGAATCAAAACTACTTCCATTGTCCATTGAGCCATCTGACGTGCGAGTATGAAAAGCCCCAGTGTACTGTGGATTATTCGTGAATACACATCTGAGGCCACCACGTCAGTGCACTCATTGCCTCACACCCCTCCATCACACCCGGTGCGGGTAAACTGTGTTATACATATGTATAGCAACGATTTTACCACCGTTGTACGTTATGTATTTCTCAAAGTTGACTCAAGGTGGTGCAGTATAAAATCTGGCCTGCCAAACTTATGGCCAAGGTCAGGCCCAAATCAAAGCGGGATGATGATAGCAGATGCTGTCAAATCGATACTGTATCAGCAGAAACCCTTCAGATGGCAAGGCAAATGCCGTGTGTTGATGTTTAGATGTATAAAGGAAACAAGAAGGAAAGAAGTCCGGAAAAGGGAGGAAAGATCTTTTCTCGCTGCCTCAATGTTGAGGGGGCGCCGCCCCTTCGGCTCCCAAGTTGGGGGGGGGGGGCAAGCGCCCCCGCTGCCCCCCCCTGTTCCCGGGTCTATGAAGTGATGCGTCGAGTCGATAGTTGGGGGTAATGGCTCTGCCCGGCGCCCAAAAAGGGTCACAACCCCAGAGGACTAGCAGGCCACTGATCTACGGTCCCGTATAAATGAGATCCTGCAGCTACCCAGTGCCACACAGCCGTTATCACCCATTGAACTGCAGCAGAGAACACTTGCCGGGGTTTGTGTGATGTAACTGTATTATTGCGTTCATGAATTGAATCAATCCACATGCACTGAATCACCACCGCATTCGCCCGCATGTAAATAAGGCGAACGTTTTGATACGGTATATGGGCTGCAAGTCGCTTCAAGAGCGCGTCAGAACAAAGATGAACGCAATCGGTGTCGAGGACTGGCACACACGCACCTCATCGAGGGCAGAGCAACGTCGTTCAAATATGCGCGCATCGCACTAAATCGACACTCATATGTAACATGACACATCTGCTACCGTTTGGCGACTGAGGCGATACGCAATGGCACTGTCCTCCCTCTATGGGCGCTCACGGACGCTGGCGGCGTCTCACACGTCCAACGCTCGACCGGTCGTACCCTGATGGCGTCTGTCATGGAATATGCGGCGTGGTCACTGGTCATCAGTTGAAGGTGAAACTATGAAAGGATGTCTGGTGGGAAGGGACAGCGAGAACACCAGAGGACGAGCTGGTCGGGAGGACGAACTAACTAGACTCGTCTGGCTACCGGGCAAAAGTGAGAGCGAAGCGAGCAAGACCGGCAAAGCATAACTCCAACAACCACACGCGCACGTTCGCAAACACACACGCGGCCGCGCGTTCACGCGAACGTCTATACCACGCACAGCCACCCGATTGTCCTAATGAAAGCGCCCTAGAGCGTCAGCACGAAGGTGCACTGAGCGCGCTGCCAAGCCGTCCCTCTGCAGCTACTGTGGCCGTGACATGCCCGTCATTACTCTAAAACAGAAGCCCGAGACTGAAACGTTCTCACGGCCCGATACAGAAACGTTCTCACGTCTGCAGCTACATTTGGCCATCACGAGCCGGGGAGCACCCCGCGCCGGTTTGATTCTACATAAGCAACTCCGTTCGGGACGTATACGATCACCGATGGAGAGATCTACGAGTGGATGGAAGAGGGCGACGTTGTCTCTATGACTAGATCCATGCACGAGCCGTCTTGAGCTAGCTAACACTCACTAATGTGTCGTTGACATTTGGCTACTTAAACAGTTGCAAAAACGGCACCTATCGGCCATTTACAACTGGCATCCTAAACTATTTGCGACGGCACGCATTCGCTACTCTAACACATGGATGAGGACTGGAACCCTCGTCATGTGTGGAAGCTTGCGTTGCCTTCTTTCCAACTATCTTATTTTACGTTACAAAATGAAGTTTAGTTAGCAGTAGCAAATGCACGGGCTCTTTATCTTTGATTTGAATGATAGACCTTTTACTTTTTTAGCTAAAAGAAAGGTAGCAGTTTTGAAAGATAATTTGCATTTTCTCTGGCAATTTAAAAAGCAATCAGTTATATATTTTGTTCATTAAACTGCTATTCCTGACACCTCTATGTGTGGTATCTATGCGTATGTGGTATCCGCTTAGCCTGTTTCACAATATAATTATTAGGATTGCTCTAACGCTGAAAGCACTTCATCACATCGTTAAGGAATGCGATTTAGGTATCAATGAAATAACTATGTGTGTGTCCAAGCTGGAACCGTGTCGTATGGGTGAGGGGTTACATAGGTAGCAATACAATAAACCAATTACGCACCTAAGATTGCTCTTTGCCTTTCAGCCGCATTCAATATCTTTGCTATAACGCGGTACAGCGAAAATCTGCTCTATAAACCTGCCTCTTCTTGCTTTACCATTCTGAGATTTTGCGCCACCTCTGTGTCATGATCTTGCTTGTCCCTTAGGATAACCGACCCACAGAGTGGATCCTCTCTCGGAGCACGCGTGTAGCGCCAGCGGCGCTCGCATCGCACATCTGCGACGCCGGCGTCCTCTATGGCGCACTTCTCGATCCACTCTGCCCCCGTCCGGTCTGCAGCCGCGCCGACACTACTCTTCAAAATGCACTTGCTAAAATAGTTATACGGCTGTCTGTGGCGACAGCGCTCCCTTCGGCCCCGCGCGGAGTCATCACTGGACCGCACCGAGCGGCCGCCGGACAGCGGAGGGCACGGAGGGCCGTGCGGAGGGCGGCGGAGGGCCGACACGCCCCTCATTGAGTCATTGAGCTAGGGCACGGGCCGTGTCTCACTCCTGTGATGCCGTCCGAGCTCACGGAGCGCGGCGCTGACGGCACGGAACGGCCCGATGGCGGCACGGACTCCCAAGCGGCCTGTTCCACCGCGGGCAGAGACCACCGTACCGCGGCGACGTTCGACGCGAAGAGCTGACGGACCGTGTGACGGACCGTAGGGAGAGCTGGCCCCGTCTGACGGACGACTGACGGACCGTACGGAGAGCTGGCCCCGTATGACGGACGACTGACGGACCGTCGGGCGTCGGCGGACCAGGATCGCCAGTGGAAGCACTAGAGCTCCATGTCCATCGCCGTCAGGTATTTCTCCTCGATCAACATCGGGATCAGTCGATGCCTGCGTGAGAAAAGTGAGAATGCAGGGAGGTTATCCCACGGGTCAAAATCGTCTCATTAACAACTGTGTACTGTAAACAAGGCACAATCGTTTCGATCGGTGTGTTAACATTTCTCTTTCTCTTACCAGTGCCATATCACTGCTATAACACCACCGATTGATAAAACGCTAGCTGCCTTTTGTCCACAATTTTTACCCATCAATTACCCCCTCCGGTGAACAGAATGCACTTCTCAGTTCTCAACTGAAGTTCATTAACTGCTAGCAAAACAGTGAACTACATTGAATGACAAAGCATCAGGATAAGCGACCCGACATCACCACTATCAGAAGACGATCTGCGTCCTATCTGCGTCCTACCTGATGGGCAGCAGCAGGAGCAGCAGCACCGGGAAGATGGTCTTCATGTAGGACCACGGCGAGAAGCCGAACACGCACAGGATGCCCAGCTGCAGCACTTGACACCCAGTGAAGATGTGGATCTTGCGCTGCGGCACCCGCCGGATGTAGTGGTTCGGAGGGTACGCCACCTGACGGAGCGTGAGCGGGGATGTCAGTGGACTGGGTGACGTTAGAATGGGTGACGTCAGTGGAGTGGGTTACGTCTTTGTACGAGGTGACGTCAGTTGGACGGGTGACGTTACTGGTGATGTGGATGGATGCGATGAATGACCGCGTGATAATCACAGGAAGGTTATTGTTTCCCAGCAAGCAATTTTGTGCAAAATACAGTTTTGAAAACAGAATGAGAGTTTCATTTACTTTCGCACCTTCCGATGCTTTTAGGATAGGAAATGCTTCGCTGAACTTTCCTGTACTGTGTAAATTATCTTGCGACGTTCTCGGTTCATTATCGTGAATGGCTTGCGCAACTGCTCTCCACATCGTATCCTGTCAGGGGCTAAAATTAAGCTCAAACGGGGATTGTTCCTGCAAGTGAGTTCGTAGTTCGGCCAGCTGTTTCGTAATGCCCTCGCAAGAGACGAGAGCGGCTTTTGTGCTTTTGTGAAACTGCTGCCCTGGCGTCCCGTGTCGCTCGGCGGTACAGAAACTCTCCGGTGACACATTGGACTGTCTCTCCTGCTGCACGTGATTGTGTGGCCATGACTCAGTCTCAGCTATTCAGTTTGCATAATAACGACTCGGCGACCTAAGTTGAGCGTCACTAACGCGGTGTTACAAATGTACGGGGTGCCCACTATTCCATTTCCAGCCCGCTATCCTCGCGCATGGAATACCGCTCGGACACTGCCGTTTCAACCTATGAGAAATGGCTGCAACGGCTAAATCTCAGACTGCAGTGTCTGAAATTCACAGAGTAGGACGCACCAGTAACTAAGCTTCTTCCAAATGGTTCAATGTTCGAATATTTCCGACCCCGTCTGGCCAAAACAAGCTTACTTTACTACTCGCCGATGCTATGCGGTGCAGTATAACTTCAGGCGCTTGTTTCTTCTGCCATCTAGCGACATGCCTAAGAACTACGTCCTGCAACTGGAGCAGTGGCGCACGCTCTTGTCTGATAAAGGTTCACAACGTTTGAAGTTATGACTTCTGAGTTCTTAGCTTTATTTGGTTGTCGGAAATACAGTTCAGCTTATACATTAGAAGACTAAGAAAACACTTCCTGAATTACATAGCATTGAGCGGTTCAACTGGCAACTGCATAATTTTGGGAATCGAATCAACAAGTTCAAACCGTAAGAACAGCCGATGAACTTTATCATGTGAGGCATTGTGCTCATTGCGAATGTCTGACGTGTTCACTGGAGCGGCATATAAGCAGTGTTCACCGACTCGGGTTGATATGATCTTATAACCATGATGTATGAGCATTATGTAACATGCATTGTATATTGCTCGGCAACACAAACTTGTGGTAGAATCTCGGAACTGACGTAGTTGAGCCCGCTGCAGGGCTGTCGCCGTCTGTGGGGCCCGGCTGGCGCACCACCGCCGGCCGGCTGCCGTCAGTGACGGCTCACTGGATGGACCCGCTCGGAGAGGCGCGGCCACCCGTCCCTCCCAGTGGCGCCGTCTCAGGCTGTGTCAGCGTTCTGCCGAGCTGCCGCCAGCCGTCGAGCTGGCAGTCTGCAGCCGAGAGAACTCGGCCTCGGGCCGATCGATTGCTCCATGCCGCCGCTCTGACCCGCTGCCGAGCTGCGGCCGTTTGGCTCAGCCGGCCGGCCCGTATGTGGCGGCCCGCCGGCCCCCATAGACAGTGTCGGCGGCACCCCGGACGCGGGTGGCTCCGCGGCCTGCATTGGGATGGTCTCATTGCCTGTTGTTGGACTCCGCGGCCCGCCGGCGCGCCGGTGCAGCGTGGTGCGTGTGGATGCAGCGGACAGGGACGGTCGGATTAGCGTTCTGCGCGGGCCGAGCGCCCGATCCACGCGTGATAGGGTCATTTGTGGGAGGAGATTTGTGCTGAAAGTGGGCGGTATTCATTCCGGACCGGGTCAACGGTTGAATGCGTGAGCTGGCTGACGCAAGAGAGAACAGTGTTCTCTGCGAGCTTCCCCTTGTACTACATACTATAGAGATACACCGGCAGCTTTTTTGTATTCGTTCACTCAGTATGCTTTTGGTATCCGAATTCCAACGCAGAAAGGACTAAATTTTTCATATCAGTAGTCATTGTTGCGATTTGTATCTCTAGATAGTATGACTTTTTTAGACAAGGTGCACAGTGTACATTGTTCGTTTTGGCCACATGTCAGTCGCATGGCCGACATGCATATTTCCCAGCCGACTTCTCGTCTCTCTATGATATATTTCCACACCACTGGCTCACCTGTTCCATGAAGAAGAGTGTGATGCGCTCGAACATCTGGTTGCCGTTGAGCGCCGTGATGGCCATGTAGAGGAAGAGCCCGTTGAGCACCGGCGGCGGGATGTACGACAGCGGGTAGGGCAGCAGGAACACAGACAGGCCGATCAGCGCGTGAGACAGGATGCCCGTCACGCGCGTCTCCCGCACCTTCACGATACTGTGGTGAGACAAAGGGAGACGACGTCAGCCTAGTCATGGGGCGTTTGAATATGTACTGGTGAATGGTATAAATACAATTAGCCAATGCAAATTAACGGACATTTACAGTTAGTTTTTCATAGTTTGGCGAGCATGCTTTCTTTTTAGCAATCACAGTATCATCTTCCTTACACCGAAAACCAAGCATTAGAGCCAGGAACTATCACATTGAAGCTTTTTCCTAGAATCCCTTTTGCCGCTCTTCAGACAATACTGCTCGTTACCCTGCAAAGCCCGAATCTTCTGACCACACTCGGAAGTATCCGATGAGCGGCGAGGAACGCCAGCTGGCATTAACCTCCGCGCCTCCCTAATTCTCTTCCTCTCCTGCCGACCGCATTGATCCGCTCAACTTCCTTTCAAGAATTCCTGACCTAGGCCGCTTTTAAGAGCGCCCCTTGACCCACTTGTCTGCGCTGCGCAGCCATATAACCCCTCTCGAGCGCGCTCCGCCCCTCTCACTCTGCCCCGCCCCCTCTCCGCTGTCGGAGTCGCCCGTCGTCTCACGCCGCCCGGGCCGCCGCCGCTAGGGTTCGGTGAGCGATCAGCCGTGCCCTGGCTCTGTGCCGAGTGACGAGACCGCCGCGTCGGCCCAGTGGCGGGCAATGGTCCGCAGCCGCTCAGTCCCCTATCCTCCCAGCACCCACCCATCACCGCCCACCGCGCTGAGATGGGTGCGCTGTGGGACTGTCTGCTGGACTCGCCTCGGGAACGAGTCAGAGCGACGAATCAGGGTCGCCATTTTCAGGTGTGACACTGTCGTGGGATTGTTTTGCTTTGACCTTATTCAACGTTTCTAAGGAGTTTTTCTGTTACCCATAGTGTAGATAATAAATATTCATAATTGATGTATTTGTGCCGAAGCGTGTGCTGTTGCTTTAGCACTACACTACGTATTTCAGACGTCTCAATTATTACGAGCGAGCGAACGAAGCGAAGTTTTTTCGATATAACGGAAAAATGGAAAAACGGAATGAGCGGCACGGCCTGCAACGCTTTTGAGAGGCTTATATCTCAGCAACAGCTGGGCAGATTGGCCTGCGGTCGTTTTTTGTTGGGTAGCCATATCCCTTCTACCACGTAATTGACTCCTCTTTATGCATCTGGGTGAAAGTCGGGACACGTGCCACGTGGAAAGTCAAGGGCGTCCAATCTGTTTTGCAAAAGTACTGCTTTTGATAGGCCTTTATCTCAGCAGCCACTGGGATGATTGACTTGCAGTAATTTTTGTAGTGTAGCTGCACCCCTTCTACCAAACATCGGATACTCTTGATGCATGTGAGTAACCCCCGCTGCACGGACAAAATGCAAAAAGAAAGGTGTCAAGTTTGAACCCATGGCAGTAACTCGACAATCACAGGGTGATTGCGCTGAAGTTGGCATGCATGTAGACACCCACCGCGCCATGCATATACAGGGTGTTCGCGAAAATATGTCATGATTCTAATCGCTTTGTAGGAAAAATTGCTTGAACGCACGTGCACGTATTTATGCCCATTTGACAGAGGACATTTTCAAGTTTTCTTTCATGTGCATTTTAATTTATAATATTAAAAATCTTGCCTTGCACAGAGCGAAAAACAAATATCGCCAAAAAGCACTTGGATTCGATACCCGTAGTTTCCGTGCTACAACAGTTCGGTGCATGCTTTGATGCCTCCGCTGCACCCCTTGTAAGGCGATTTTTTTACTGCACATGCAACTTACTACCAAAGTGATCGTTAGAAATCGAATGAACCCTTGAAAGTCCGAGAAAAAGAATTATTTATAGTCATTTAAACTACAAAGAGATCACCCATTTGGTCAACGAGATGCCTTCCCTGACCATCTGCGAGCTCGCGCAAGATGCGGGGAGCGGTCCAACATGTCTCATTATATTATTGATAATGACATGGGGATTATACCCTACAAGGTCAGGAATCAATAGGTGCTATTTAGGGTAGAAAAGGGCTAAGAATTTACTTTGCTTCGAGGATAAAAACCCAAATCAATTCTGAGCACCGCTCACCGGCCACGCCCGGTCAACCAGTGAAGCACACATCCACCTTCATGGAGGCGCCGACGGCCAGAACAAACGGTTTGGGTAGATATGCCACCCTCAAAGGCTAGGTAAGAACACCAGCTCCACAGTCCGAAGGTCATTGCTTGATTTGCGATAGACGCTCATGGTGCCGCGAGGCCTTCTTCTTAAGACTTCAAATTGAAACACCAACATTGCCGCTGAAAACTGCTGCGTGGGAGTGCTCTAGAAGTTTAAGCGAGAAATGTGGGGCAACTCGGGGCAAGACAATGGTCAAAACGCTGCAGACATGCGCACGGGTAGGATGGGTTCAAGTCCACACTTCGAAAATTGCACTCCGGTGCCTAAACGAAATGCTAGGGCCCGTTTCTTGAGCAGGAGGACCCTTACCCCCTGGTCGACCCATTCACTTGGTGTCAGCCCCATCGGCCGTTACCTGTGGGATATCTGAAGTCCAAGGACTACAGGAAGACAGCCAATAATCTTTCTCGGCTGATGATAGTGATTGCAAAGGCCGTCCGTGTTCACTTATAACACGTGCGTGCGAATGAACCCTTATGTGTAATCTCTAGGTGATACGTGCATCCGCCGAAAAGGGGTTCATATTGAAAACAGCGTGTGGGGTGCGCCCGGTTTGACATGAGGCACTCATACATGTGTATAACAAAACTTGAAGATCCGGGCAAGACATTTCAGCAAGACATTTGATCCTTGCTTATTTGAGCTGGCGATAATGGCGTAACGAAATCATGACATATTTTTGCGAACACCCTGTACATACGTCACGGTTAAGGTGCTTTTGCACGTGCGCACTTGCATGGGTCGCTTCCAGATGTCGAGAACGGTCGGGCCGATTGCGCTCAAATTTGGTATACGGATAGGGACCGACTGGAAGGGTGCCGTGCAAAAGTTAGTTTGGACCCAGTTTGCACGAGCGCACGTGCAGGCTGCCGCTTCCAGATCTTGGGTCGGCTGGGTCGATTGCACTCAAATTTGGCACACCGCTAGCAACTGGTTAGTAGGGTGCCGTGCAAAAGCCAGTTGTAAGTCCTCTCGCACTTCCGCACGTGCAGGGCTCACTCTCTCGCTCGCTCGTTTGTCGCCCCAAAAGGCGTTTTACTGGTTGTATTACTGGCCCGAATCATTGCAGCCATTCATTTTCCAGCGTTGCTCTGCCACGACGGCCTGATTGCACTGCCCCAGTGACCCAGAGTGGTGTCAGAGCCCAGAGGTCATCCTCTAACCGTCCGTCGATGCCGCCTCGCCGCGGCGGTCTAATGCCAGTGACCCGAAGCGCGGGCGCGTGGGCCAAGGTCCGCCGACCGTTCACCAGTGCCGTCCCGCCGCGCTGGTCTAACGCCAGTGACCTGGGGGTGGCGGGTGTCGAGACCACGGTCATCCCCGCCGTCCAGGCACGTGCCGTCGCTGTCGTTGGCCGCCGATAACGATGCCATGGGGCGGCGGCGGTGGACGCCGGCCGAATACCCAGCGCCGGTCGTCAGGCGCGGCTCGGAGCGGGCCCCGGGCCGTCCGGCGGCTGGTGGCCGCCTTCCGCGGCAGAGGTGCGGACCAACGAGAGGTCATTAACAGGCGGATGTGCGGGAGTCTTGTTCAATGTAGAAACCACTGAAATGATCTAATGTATGCCGTTTGGGAGGAATTTATGCAAAGTGGAGCGCTACTCATCCCAAACGTCTGTTGTTTTGGTTCTGGTCGCCTGGTAGTCGTATCTAAATCACAAACATACGCTCCCTCAACCGGTCCTGTATCCTAAACCGGGGTATAATTCCACCACCTCGATGCCGCGTCACGACCACAATCTCCAGACTGTATCAACTATGAGCGCCTCGGCGATCCCACCGCTGCCGTCCGCTCCGACAGACTCGGCTGGCGAGCACACTCACATTTCGTAGACGTGTCCCTGCTCGACCCGCTCTTCGACGTCGGCCATACTGCGCACGTGCAGCGGAGAGTGCGGGATCGCCGCGTGCATCCAGGGGAGGCCGAGCAGTGAGAGGAGCCCGTTCAGGAGCGCCACTACCATCAGGTCCAGGTGGTAGGCCGAGCCCTTCTTCAGCCTGAGGGAGGCGTGGGGGAGAAAGGTGGTTGGTGACGAACAGGCTCGCTGCTAAAGTAAAGTAAAAATGAGGTTTCCGCACATCGGATTGCCTGTGAATTTACTTGTTGCAATGCTTGTTATTTTAAACATGCGTTTTGCATACTTACTTATCATCCTTTCTTCGCGTAATGAAAACCAAGGTATATGTATCGCATCGCCTACCTAAAACATAAACGCTCTAACGGCACCAAGCTCACTGAAAGTCTCTCTACGTGAACAGTCCCTCTGTTATGCCATCACTCCTGAAAATCACTGCTTAGCTTCGCTGCAGTGACTCACTGCAGCCTCACTGCATAGACTCGCTACAGAGACTCACTTGTTGCCAGGGTTGTTGACCATGGCGCTGGTGATGTTCTGGTCCATGAAAAACAGCAGCGAGAGACAGAATCCTAACAGCGCTGCTCCGAACACGGCTCCCACACCCATGGACTGCACCCGCACCAGGCCCAGGCCGTTCTCGTCGTTATACCGGAACGGCGCCACTGGCGGCCACACGGGTCACGGAGGGTCATCGGGGGCGGCAGGTCAGTCGGGTCAGCCGGGTCAGCCGGGTCAACTGGGCGGAACGTGACAGACGAGATAACCGGGTTGGTTTGGTCAGCAGAGCTTCCTGGGTCAGAGGGTCTCGGTTTAATAGAATTGGCTCGACCGCTATGGAATTGCATTCTCTCTCTCTCCCTCTCTCTCTCTCTCTCTCTCTCTCTCTCTCTCTCTCTCTCTCTCTCTCTCTCTCTCTCTCTCTCTCTCTCTCCTCTAGCTCTTTCTTTCTATCCCTCACTCACTCACTCACTCACTCACTCACTCACTCACTCACTCTCTTTCTCTCTCACCCTCTCTCACTCACTTCCTCCATTCATTACACTTCGCTGTGCATTGCGTACAAATGTTCATTAGACCCATTTTATCGAAGCAATTTGCGGCAATAATCGTTACCAGTAATGAATCCCGTGAATAATTTTGCCCAATTCACTGAATCGAGAAAACGCACTTTTCCAAGTAATTACAACAAAGCATTAATCAGCTACCAGCGCTTGCAAAAAAGTTGTTATTTAACTAATTCATTAGAAAATTGTGGAAGATTTCAGGAATTTCCCCTGCAATTGAATTATAAGCTCGCCGTCTCGTTGGAATGGGCCGCTGTTTCGAGGAATCTGGTACCGTATGATTCCACGAATCTGGTGCTCCTGCCTGAGGAAGTGAGCGGTGACGCTGGAATGGATTATACGGCAGTGAACTGGGCCGAAGTGCGGTCGGGCCGCCTGATTACTTCCCGCACAGTGACAGGGAACCGGGCGATGCTCCCTTCCCTGGGGTTGATGAAAAACGCGATCTAACAGCGCGCATTCTGACAAACAGCGAGGCTTCCTGGAGACTGCGAACGGCGCTGAGTTCATAGTGTCAGTCACATGCTGTTCTGGGAACCCGAGAAATGAAACTAAGTGCCGCGGACTTATGTTCCTGTGCAAGGATTTTTCAGTAATATGACGTTTTGCATGATTATTACAAGCTAGAATATTTATTTAGCCTGGTTTGACGCCGTGGTTATTTGATAATGAAACTGAAACCTACCCTTCTTGGGCAAGTTAGCACAATGAGCGGTCCGCTTGTTTTGTTACTGTATGCCTGGCCTATTCAAATACATTAGCCAGAGGGGTGTGGTAATAACTGGTGTAAGCAAATTGACCACGGTCAAAAATGCATTACCAGAATGCACTTAAGCCAACATTTTGGGATGGTCTCGTTCCTAAGTCGGCTAAGAGCTTCGGTCCAGAAAATAAATTTATCGTTGGCATACAGTAAAATACATACCAAACTCGGCCGGTGATAAATTTTCAAGACCTCAGTCCTTACTGATTTTTGAACTCGGCCTTCGGCCTCGTTCAAAAATCCAGTAAGGACCTCGGTCTTGAAAATTTATTTACACCGGCCTCGTTCGCGTATTTACAAATTGCAACCGAGCTCCGCCGTAGGGTATTTTTTCCGCCGTAGTATATTTCAGTTGGGGTATTTTCTACCATACATCTGCCTGAGCTTGGGGTAATTACAATTTGTCGGCGACGTTAAAAAATGATGCACCTTTTTCCGCAGTATAGGTTATCGCATGTGCATATTTTTGCCTTTTTGGTTGCGCTTTCCCTCGCCCGTATAGGGGGAGGCGTTGAGCGGACCCCATCGGTTTTTCGTGAGTAACTCGCGTAAAAACCGTCCGATCGCGACGAAACTTTCAATACCCCCGATTTTATCAATTTTACTCCTACCCTGAAAATTTCATGACCCTGACCCAAATGACCTTTGACCTGTGACCTATTTCTTGAGACCATGTTTGGCCCGAATCGCGTTTCGGCGTATGTCGGCTCGCATTAGCCGCGCGTTTGCAGTCTTTACGTGGTTTCAAGCGTTGAAATATGTGATATGATGCTGGTCCCATGCATTATGGTGGGTGTCACATGAAGATCAGGTCAGCTCAATGACCTTTGATGACCTCGGTTCACTTTTTCGAGTTTAGCATGCCTCTAGGCTAGTTTTTGGAGCTGATTTCGAATTTAGCAACCATTTGAACATTAAAGGGGGTGTAACGAAATTATCCGGACATCTTTCTTCCCGCTGTAATTAAAAAGCAAAACATTGTGGTACTTTTTATTTTGACTGAGCATGTAGCCACATTTCATAAAAACACAGTGGCGAATGTTTTGGAGCATTTCAGCCAATGGATTATCCAGCACACTGGCTTTGATGCGGACCAACGCCGTCTAAACCTGTGCCTGCAGTTGGGCGGTGCTTGTGGTGGGCGTCTCTTCAGTCACCTGCTGAACAAGAGCCCACAGGTTTTCGATTGAATTGGGATCTCGACTTTTTCCAAGTCATAAGCGTTAGCCCAGAATGATTGAAGGTTCTATCGGCATCACTTTCCGTTCTTTAAGGGACTTTTAAGTAGCGCGCCGCCCAGCATGAAGACAGCGTGGCTTGAATCAGGCATCAGTGCGCGTTCAGAAACCGAGCCCTCCTATACCGTCTGGTTGAGCGCCTCCGACTATTCATTGGCCAGTATGTTTCTCCGGTAATACTTACGTTGATGGCGGTATTATTGGCCTGTTCCAGCGCCTCCAGAAGAAATTCTTGACTGGAGGCTCTACCAGAGGTTTTACTGGAGGCGCTGGAACGCAATCTGGAGATTTCTGGAGATTGGCGTCATAGTTCACAAAAGAATGACGATTGTTCTCTCTTGAAACGCAAAATTTGTTTTCAGTTTTAGTTAAAAAGATAAATAAAATTATAGCAATGTAATTTTCTTTACATTCAAGTTGTAAAATAATCAGTCAAATGTCCTTTGTTTACATTCGTGATTGTCACATGTGCGCCATAATTGTAGACCAGAGCCTCCAGAGAAATTTGGACCTCTCAACTCTCTGGAGGCTACTGGAGGTTTCTGGAGCTTTGGCGAGAGCTTTCTGGAGCTTTCTGGAGGCGCTGGAACGCTCTCTGGAGGATTCTAGAGCTTTCTGGAGCTTTCTGGAGGTTTCTGGAGGCGCTGGAACAGGCCTTATGTGACACTATGTCCTATTGGAGGATCGCTAGGCAGCTGAATATGCTCCAGTTCTGGATATTGTCCGGATGTTTGACGGCGGCGAAGGCCAGCAAGTTCGAGCGGCTGGCCGCCCATACATGGCCGATTTGACGGTTCAAAGGATAATACAGCTCGAACGGCTAACCATCCAACCAGACCACCTCACCCTTATCATTCTTCAACCAGTGGACGCGATCTGGCGTGAGGCGAAAGGTGGTGAACTGGTTGTTTTCCCGTCAGTTTCGTTGTCTTTTTCAGTTTGAAGGGCACTAGTCACTAGAACCAAGTTAAAGGGCGGGTAGCGGTAAACCATGATATGGGATCTCTTATTATCTGACTTGGTAAGAATTCGAGTCAATTTGCGGATTGATTGGTGCCGTTTCCTTGCCGCTATCTTGATGACTCTCCTCACCACTTGACAAAGGGCGGCTTTTGTGGTCGCGACCGGGCTGAGTCTGCCACCGAAGTCCCAGCTCATTACACCTCAGGCAAATGTGCAATTGGCTGCTGCTGATGTCCAGCTGCTGGCAGACCAGCTTCTGGCTCATGACGCCGTGGATGCCGCCATGCAATTTTACCACGAGGAGAGATTGTATCCCCTTCTCGCAACTGCCTTGGACGAAAACTACCATGTGAACCCGTCTGTGAATCGACTCCTACTCAGAGCAACAGTCACATGACAAGGTCAGGTCACTGCTCAGTTGAAACCGATACCAGAGGCACGTATTCATCCAATATTCCCACTCCTAACATCAGAAAGGATGAGAAAACTGTGCAAACAGATATGGCGAAAAAATAGATGTCCGGACTCAGGATAATTTCGTTACACCCTGTACTGAAGTAGTTTTAGTGCCTTCGTAACATGTTACGAAGCTGTCAGAGAAAAAATAGCCTTCTGCCCCTCCAACTTTTGTTTATTTGTAGAACTTCGTTGCTTAGCAAACAAAGATGTATAATTAAAAGATTTGATTCAGTGTTGCACATAATCTAACTTAACAACCGAGCATTGCAGGTTTGACAGCTTTTTGCCCCACCAGCAGTAGCACCACCTTCCCTGGAAAAGCTCCACCCTTGCCTATGGGGCAAAACATAAGGGACAAAAACACAAAACAAGACAGATAAAAAACAAAACAAAATGAACTCATTACCTAATGAAGTTCAGTCTGGAGCAAAAACATAGGTAATAGGTATCTATGTCAAATTAGAATGAAAGATTAAAATCAACCTGACCAGGTCTTACGGTCTGACCTGATCCTAACCGCCTTACTTCACCTAACTTAACCCAATTCAACCTAACCTACCACCACAACACCTGCAGAGGTACCTTCCTAGAAAATTGGAATATTACCATGATTGCTTGTCAAAATGTGTGTCATCATGCTCTTGTTTGACAAGTGATGTATAATAAATGTGACATTCAAAAATGGTCTCCTGACTGTTGAGTGATCAGAAAATTCAAATAATCAGGGTACAATGCTGTGCATCATAGTGCTCACTAATCATGTTGTTTTTGTGTAGGCCCTCTGAGCATTATTGTGTACACTGCCATGTGCACCTTAAGGAAAAAAAAGTGACTGGTGGTACATGAAAAGGGTTGTGCAACTGTGAAGTTCATGCCCTTGGTCTTGTTGGAGTCAAATGCCTATAGCTATAGCAGGATCAGTGAGAGTTGTAGACATGCTACATGCACTGTGAATTGAAGATATTGGCACAAAATTCATCCATAATTACTATGCTTAACACCTAATGTAAGAAGCAACATAAATGCCCAGATGATACAGCTCTCTGGTCAACATCACACAAATTTATTGACATACTTTGCAGGTACATATTTACAATCATAGCAAATACTTTCAATTTGATTCAATAACTAGGTGCTAGTAAGCCTGCATTATTGTAGGTACAACAATGAACATATATTTAATCATAAAACACTTTCTCGTGGCATTCATCACATACCTTTTTACCGAACAAGTACCTATCTACCATGCAATGATTCTAAATTTTGTCCGCAATCCACCTATATCTCAACTGACACATTGAAATTGAAATACCCTAACAAAACCTAGAACTGTACAAAAGAAGAATGCAATGCTACAAGAACTATGAAGTTCTGAAGTTATTCTCACATGCTGGAATGTTGAAACTCTACTTTTGTCGTCCATTTCTCCACGTTTGATTGAGCCATCATATAGAACTGTTTTCGCTCTTCAGTCATAAGCTTTTGCACAAATCTTGAATTTTTACACATCATCTTGAACCATGCTCCAGTCTTTCCAACAAGGTACTATGGAACATCAAAGCAATTTTGATTTGTTACAACAGCTTCAGATCATGATAGGCTTGAAGTTTGTTACACCATTTGCCAGACAAAGCTCTACAAAATGTGTATCAATTCCCAAACTAAGCAATTGATTATATCAGTATTTGCAGTTTCCACACAATGTTTCATAATATTATTCAATTTTTATAACAAGAAACCCAAATAATCCACAAATTGTTATTGAAACACTCCCACTTCAAGAGTTCACGGCAATAACAATACAAGTTCAGAAGCAAATAAACATTGCGCCAGATTTCGTATGAAACGCGCCATCATCCTGAAGTTTCTACCACACACGGTAGTTCAACCGCAGCCGTAGTGCGAAAACCCCTGCCCACCTTACCCCACGGCGGAGCTCGGTTGCAATTTGTAAATACGCGCCTCGTTCAGTATTATATATTACCGACCTCTATCAACGCTTCCTTAGAAACCTCTGTGGTTAATTATCGTTTGGGCTCTCAAAGGCGTAACGCCGCTCCCCCACTTACTGTTAACGTCGGCAAACAGAAACGAGCCGACGAAGCTCATTACGAGCACGGCGATGGGGAGCGAGTAGTCTGCCAGCAGCTCCCGCTTGCTGGCCTCCAGGTACGGCCTGCCGCGGAGGGAGCAGACGGTCAAGGCGTGGTCTCCAGAGGGCGATAAAGACAGGGCGAGGTGTTTGAGAATCTCAGTACTCCGACCTTTTAAGCACTTTCAGTCTAGGTGACGGACAATGCTAATAAGAATTATAGGCATCTGAGGAGAAGGGGCAAGATTTTCAAGGGAAACATCGATTTTGAGACCTATCTAGCTCGGGTTCTCAACATTCTTATGTTAAAAAGAGACAAGTAAGTGGGAAATTCCTTTGCTTTTCATACGGTATATTGTATTGTACACAATAAGACGGGTGGCAATTTACTCACGTCTTGTTGAAGTTGTAGAGCGAGACGCCCACCCATAGAGTACCGAGCATCAGCAGGAGGAACAGCAGGCTATTCTCGCGGTGACAGTCGAGGGGCGCCACCAGGGTCCCGTTCACAGCCTCGCTGACGTTCAGAGCCTGCAGGTCCACCGTGCAGTTCTTGGACCAGTAGTTCCTCTTGAAGTCTGCAACAGATGTGGCGCGATGCAGTGTTTGACACTCATTTAACCCGCGCACCGACGGGGGTCTGCGCCAACTTCGCACCGACGGGGGGGGGGGGGCGGATGACCGCCCCCCCTGAGATCTCGAGAACGAAGCAAGATAGCGACAAGCGGTAAACGGCATCGGATACGCACGGCCAAGATCTACAATTTTTACTAAGGTCATTTTCAGGTCAGGTCAAAGATGACGTCACAGGGGTCGAAAAAGTCAAAATGGCGGCGCTAGATATGGAGAGTTTTTCTCGAATAACTTTCGAATTAGTCAAGATAGGAACAAACTAAGGGCATCATCGTGATCCTCTCGTCAATCCGCATCGAATGATATATATGTTGACCTCGAAAGGTCAAGGTCAAAGGTTGACCTCAGGTCACGTGACCTCGAGGTCATCATGCATATCATTCGATGCGTCTTGACGAGCTGAACACAATGAGACCATCCACGCGTCTGTATCTTGTTCCTGTACGGAGTTATTGGCCAAAAACCTTTGGTGACCTTTGATGACGTCACATGACCTCACAGCTGCCCAACAGCAAAACAGACCTCAAGGTAGTGAAGGTTGATTGTATATGAAGTCATGTAAAGTATATGGGGCCATTCCGACCCGTTTAAGTGGTAAAAACAGGGAGTTGATTTTTCCCCCATTGACTTATAATGGGGAGGTCGTGAAATTGACCTGACCTTAGGTCACCGATATCAAAATTCCGAGATATACAAATTGTAGCTACTAATGACCTTATAATATCCTGCGACTTTCAAAGGCCTCCGACATCTACTGTAGCTATGGCACGGTGACAAAGTTGCAAAAAAGTGACTTGAGGTTGGGTCATTCAAAGTGACCTGGTGACCTGACCTTAAAAGGTAGGAAGTTCAAACTTGCACACCATGTGTAAAATTGATGAGGTTATAGTCATACCAAATTTCGCGGCGCTACGCGCCGCGGTTTTCCCGCTATTCGCAAAAAAACCTCAGGGGGGGGGGCGGATATCCGCCCCCCCCGTCGGTGCGCGGGAAAATAGATACTTTCAATGAAATTGGACAAAGATGGAGACGTAACTGCTGAAATGTTGATTGGTTATGTTGGATGCATTTTCCTCCAGAAAGATATATGCAAGGAATTTGTTTACTGCGTTGAAATATTACAACACGCCATGCTAATAAAATTTGTTGCAATGCGATGTAAACTCCGCGGTTCTGCTCACTGGATATTGCGTCCCGCGACGCATCGACTGCGAAGGCGATGGAGATGAAGATGGCGAAAATCTCCTCGGTGGATCGCGTCGACCATCGCATCAGCCGCGAGACGCCGAACACGCTGTACATCATGATGAAGAAGGAGTTCCACAGGCCGACGGCGCAGTACATGGAGAAAAAGTCCAGCTTGAAGTCCTCACATATGGTGTGTATGACTGCCGGAGGGTACAAGTGAAGCGTCATGGTCTTGTGGCAGTTGAGTGGGATAATGAACAAGGTGGTGCCAACTCGGGCTAATTTGCTTTAGATCCCGGCTCTGTATGGTGTACATGATAACATGTATGTGTGTATGTAACATGTATGGTGTAACATGTATGGTGTACATGATAACAGTTACCCGACACACCCCACAGTGGTTAGTTCATGTATTCATTAAATGGAGTAGAACATCAGAAGCTTTATTTCCATGTTGCTACATATTGATTGAACTTCTATCTGCAGTGAACATTAAATGATTTTATGTAGGGGAGAGTGGGGAAAGACGCCCAGGGTTTGACTATGTCATATATTATTCGAAAATGACGATCGGAAAGCCAAAACTTGGAGTTTCAACGGAAGCCGACATCATTTTTCTCCAAAAATATCACACTTTCGTGCCTGAAATATGATAACTTTTTTTGCTATTAAGCATTTTCCTGAAGAAGTGAAAGGGGGCATCTTACCCCACAGGGTGGGAAAGACGCCCCCTGTCGTTGGGTAAGATGCCCCCTGCACTATATATTATTCGAAAATGACGATCGGAAAGCCAAAACTTGGAGTTTCAACGGAAGCCGACATCATTTTTCTCCAAAAATATCACACTTTCGTGCCTGAAATATGATAACTTTTTTTGCTATTAAGCATTTTCCTGAAGAAGTGAAAGGGGGCATCTTACCCCACAGGGTGGGAAAGACCCCCCTGTCGTTGGGTAAGATGCCCCCTGCACTATAAGTGACATAAATAGGCACGTAAATCGCCTGAACGAATCAGTAGTCCCTTCGATCCTGCTGTAGACACCAAGCGTCATCGTAAGGGCCCTCAAAAGTAGTCGTAAGGGGCTTCAGAGGTCATCGTTAGGGCCATCGTAGTCCAGCGTGGCCAAACAAGCCTCCGTGGTGGCGTTCGGAGACCACTGTGGGGCCCTTGTAGGTCTTGATGATGCTTGAGGGCCCTTGAGCCCATCGTGGGGACCTCAGATGCCAGCGCGGCCCGTGGAGCCAACGTGGGAGCCCTCAAAGGATGTCGTGAGGGGCCCTGGAACCAATAATGGGGCCCACAGAGACCGTCGTGAGGGCTCTCAGAGTCAGATGCCGCCTAAAAAGTCGCTGTGTGGGCCGAAAGACCGGCGTGGGGAGCACCCGACCGTACCGGACTCTCAATAGCCCCAGATCGGCTTTGTCTCTCATCACAAGTATGTAATAAATGATTTGACGGGCTGCTTGAAGGACAGCCTACGGATTTAGGGGGGCGTCTTTCCCCATCAGGACAGGGGGCATCTTACCCCAAGGTACCGAAGTAACATTAAATCATCACCATTTGTTAGCCATAAAACTAGACCCTGAAACAAACTGTTTGGGACACAGTACACGCATGTTAATGTATCACGACTATAGCAAGGGACGCAAAAATTATCTACCTTCTTTGATATTTACAATGTTTTGACGCCAAAATATTTTTTGAAAGCAGCAAATAAAAAGCATGCAATCACCAGCCAGCCGTTGCCCAACTGAGCTTCACAAATTTTTGTGCAGTTAACAAGGCATGGCTTCCGCTTTACGCTAAGAACATTAATTTCCAGGTTCGATTCTGTGTTTCCCCGCTATAGGGGGTGGGGCGTCTTTCCCACCTTGGGCATCTTACCCCACTCTCCCCTATTAGATTCTGATGCAACGTTCCATTCTCTTAACCCGCGCCCCGCTGGGGGGGGGGGGCAGAATCTGCCCCCCCTCCCGTTTTTCGCCAATAACTTCTAAACGCGTTACGCCAGCGACGTCAAACTTTCAGTACCTTATCATACATCAATTTGACACGTTCCCTGAAAATTTGAGCGAAATCCGTCGGAAATTTTTTGAGAAATTGACGTTTTAGTGACGTCATGTTCGCCATTTTTGCCTCAAAAAACGGCAAAATTTCAAACGCCGCTAACATCTTCATTTTTAAAGGAATCAAGACGTAACAAATAGGTTATACGTGATTCTACTTTGTCTATCAAATGGCTATCTCGGTTTTTTGAAAATTTTGGATTTTGGCCAACATTTTTCCAAAAAACTGACTTTTTTGGGAAAATATTTATAAAATCCGAAATTTTGAGTTTATCGAAAAAACCGGAATATATGTCAAAGAAGTGGTCTATGTGCACCTACATACCAATTTTTAGAAGAATCGGTTCAAAAATGTGGGAGTTATTCAAAATTTTATGACGTCACGACACACAAAAATTTTGAAAAATGATTTTTTTTGGAAGTTCTAGACCTCGTACGGAAACAAAAATAGCACCATTCGATTCACCGTGAAAAACTGCATCGGATAGACACCTTTTTAGGCCTTAACAACCAACTTAAAAATTTGACCTCACTTGACCTGACCTTGACCTGACCTCGACCTGAAATTCATCCAGAGGTGGTCCATATCACTTATTGAGCGTGCCTATTGAATTCCATGAGTAAAATGACCCATAAAACATGTGTCGCATATGCCCTTTTCTATATTTTGTTTTTGGTGACCTGACCTGACCTGACCTGACCTTGACCTTGACCTTTGAATGACATTGTGTGCAACGAATATTGTCTTGGTAGTCTAAGAACACGTTTTGGGCAATCAGTCTCAGTCCATTCTTCGGCAACTACGGTGCAAGGCCGATACTGTAGAAACTTGCATTTTGTACCCTTGACCTGACCTTGACCTGACCTCTGACCTACTTAAGCAAAAAAATTTGGGCTCTTAAGATCCGCCTTGTTGAGAGCTTTCGATTGCCGTTTTCCCCGTCTTTCTACGACCATCGGTTCGGAAGTTAGACAGGGGGGGGGGGCAGAATCTGCCCCCCCCCCCCCCCAGCAGGGCGCGTATGGCTGAATACCCCAGCGGGGCGCGGGTTAAACTAGGAAACAATGTAGGCATCTAATTTATGTAATAAAAGTCATTGTCATCACGGGAGCATAATGTCTTGAATATTATGACGCTCCATTTTGAAAACCATCTAAAAGCTCTGCGTGGACTAAATAAGAGAATGCCTACTCTGCTGCATTACAAGTTTCTCAAGGCTGTCTTCATATATTTCTGCAAATATGTATGTTCCTATAATATCAAAATATTATGATATTGTGCAACTTTGATCAAATATCTGAGTTTTTGTTTCTGCTATAGCTAGCCTGAGTAAAAAGTTTCAGAACCTTTCGTTTCCTTTTATTCCTTCTGTCTCTCCCCTATACGCCATTCCTTTCTTTTCATCCTTGTCTATCCTTACCGCTTTTTAATCTGATAGTGGCACATCACTGCATCATGCATCTGTGCCATAGGACATGGCAGTGCTCATACTCAGCCTCAGTCATAATTTGCAAGACCATTCCGGTACCTCAACTAGCTAAAAGTCCCCGAAGAAGACGCCGATCGATGGTCCCACTGACGAATCGACTGCCGTTTGGATTGGGCAGCACAATCCGCCGGCGGGGAGGGCCGTTACCAGGGGTTCATCGCTCATCGCTCGGTAGGCGGACCGGGCGATTATCGGCGACCGAACCGACGGCGACGAATCGCTTCCGGTGCTTACGGGCGAAATGACTCAATTGGCCGCGACCGATGTGCTTTGACAGCCAGAGCATGGATTGGCGACCGTAACGGTAAAAGGCATAGCGTAGCTAAAAGTTGACATTGAATATCCCCGTGCAATGGCTCTTTGGTTTTTACCATCTCATTTGACTAGCCATTCACTAAAATCCATGCGACCCTGAGCCTTGAATAGACCCTAAACTGAGCCTGAACCTGGAGACAGGGGACCGACTGTCGCGACTCACTTTTGATGTAGATGGCGAGTGGCGCCGTGGTGAGCAGCACCATCAGGGGCTGGCCGCCGAACACGTAGAAGAACAGGCCGCCCAGCGTCTGGCCGATGATAACCTTCTTCACGTCTGGCGGCACGGCACAAACACGGCTTAACATTTCGGTCAGATAAGACGTCGCATAATCCGCTCAGCGGATAGAAGATAATTACAAACAATTGTTAAAGCGGTGACTAGACTTACTAATGATACGGTATTGTATTTTACTGTTTTTTTTGTGGAGAAAATTGAAAAATACCGTTTTATATTTACAACTTCTGTTTCTACCTGTGTAGAAGCTTCTATTGTGCTGAATTTGACAAATAAAATAATGAATCCTAAATGAGGAACTTGATTTTGAATCACTCCATATCCTTCATCACCAACAGAGCGGTATCAGTTTCTGGGTCCGTCTCCCTCATTCTGCGCTATGGCGGCCAAGTGAATGACCGCTTCTCTACTGGTAACGGACCTACAGCCCACTGGACACACAAAGCCCGACGGACACATCCGTCATCGGCACTGCGCGGCCGGCGGCGGCGGCCGGGGGGGGGGGGCGACAGCGGCGAGGGGGGGGGACGCGGCACCCTTCCGGACGGCAGCCCGCGGGGACTGCGCGGACTGCGCGGCCGCTCACCGCCGCGTCGGCTTCCCGCTGGCGTTCAAAAGCGGCGCGCGTGACAGGCGCGGCTAATTAGGTCAATTGCCATTCAGGCGGTGAGCGAGCAGCGTCTGAAGCTCCGGTGACTGCGGCCGCGCGCCGCCCGCCGCCGCAGGCCGGACGTGTATTGATTTTGCATTGCAGCTCGTCTCGAGCGCGCCTGGCCAGAAGGCTGCGGTGACGGTGATGACGCCGGCCCGAGGATCGGCTCGATGACGACCCGCGCGGGGAGATAGCCGTCAACAGGGTCGCACGGACCGCGGGTGGGGGAATTACTGTCCGGTGGAGGTGGCTCCACCGCACTGAACCGGCCGACAGGATAACTCCGAGGGCGCACTGAGCGGCGATGACAGAGCGGAAGTGATCAAGAATGTGGAAAGCTAGAGGATATGTCGGATCTTTCATGAGTGGAGCTTTGAGCAGTAGCGTTAAATCCAACTAGAGGCATATACCAATGCACGTTAGGGTTAGTGACTACTATTCTTGGCATTTCTAATGTCAGCTGTTGAAATGGCTAAATATTTTAAATGGTCTTAACTCTTATGTGACCGCAGTCCACTCTGTAAGGGCACTTGTCTGTAAGAATTACAAATCAGAGACGCCGAACAAGTTGGAAAGTGGCATTTCAACCTTCGGGCTCCAAAGCTGCGTGCCCGCCGCAAATAGTTTCGCTAGTTAGTTCGGCTTGAACTGAGCATAATATACCATCTTGCTGGAGTTTCAGTACCTACGCCCTACAGTCGTTATAAATTAGGAACACAACAAACAATATTGCAAAACTAGGGTCTCGTGAAGATGTGCGAGTTGTAAAATGTATGTCAATGCTACATCTAACTTGCTACCGAGACATGACAAGGTAAAACAGGGATTATTTCGAAATATTTCTTACATCGCACTGACGTATCATTTTCATGCATGTTATTAGTTTGTGATGTAGTTACGTGTTCGGGTTTGCATTGATCATTATCATCTATCCTAAGCAAAAACAGTCATGCGTGCTTCCAGATTAGCCCACCAAACTGCATGCAGACGTGAGTGGTGGACGGGTATCGCTGAATATCGCATTAAATATGAAGAAAGCTCACCTATTTTCCCGTTAGTGTTATGATCGTTTAGAATGCCAAAGGCTATGGCAGGAAGAATGCAGGCGAAGTATAAGAAGAAAGTGGTGGATATCGTCTTTTGCAGAGTCTTATTGCCAACAAAGCCATCCACGAAATCCTGTTAAAACAGAACATCATCAATACATCACGCAATTGAAACGTAAGACGGCCAGACGCGGCGCTGGAGAACCAGACAGCCAATGGTACAAAGGCCAAGACAGCAGTTCAAAACTGAACGTGCATGAGAGAAGGTTATAAAGCTTGCATATCATTCACACTAATCACCAAACCAATATCTTGTATTATCTTGTTATATGAATATGTTCAGCTTAAGAATGTAAGAATAAAGTGGAAACGTAGCTTGATTTTTCACACCCTTCCCATGCAAAGGTTACTTGAAAAAACGTAGAGAAAATACAGGCAAATATTGAAAATGGAAAACAATTTCTTTGACCTTTCAAAAGCACCCTCACCTGTATGTAACATCTTGACCTCCTCTGCAGATCATCCCTTAGACCACGTCCAAAGGAGCAAAACTTTTCACTCTCCTGCAAATACAACGTTTAAAAGATCATACATATAGTTACCTACCCGTATGGAAACTCACCGTCTCTTAGACCGCAAACAGAGAACAACACGGAACTTTTACCAAGGAACTTTATACGGTACGACGTATCACCAGGTTTTACCAGGTATCGCAGCTCGGATATATCTAGCATTACCACATAGTGCATAGCGTTGCCGTCCTCTCACTTAGCTCTCGCCGCCTGCTCACCTCTGGCTCTATTCCTTCGCTCATCTAATTCCCCCGCGGCGCTAACCTATCCCCCCGCGTACCTCTGTCTCACCCCCTCACCTCCTCTACCTCCCCTCCACTCACATATGGCTCTACTTCTTCGCTAACCTGACTCCCCCGCTCACTTATCCCCTCGCTCACCTCTGGTTCCTCCGCTCACCTCATGTTTCCCCTGCTCGCCTATGTTTCCCTGGCCACCTTTGCCCTCCTCTGCTCACCTCACCTGTACCCTGCTCACCTCTCCCCGCTCACCTCTCTCCCCAGCTCACCTCTGCCCTCCGCTCACCTCTGCCCTCCTTGTGCTCACCTCTGGCTCGTTGTCGTCGGACGGCACGCTGAGCACCACTCCCTCGGTGGTCATCATCTGTGTCTGTTTCACCACCAGCTGCATAAACTCCTGCTCCGTGTGCGCCTCCAGCAGACGCTGGCGCACGTCCATGTCGGCGATGATGGTGGCGAACGTGCGTGCCGTCTCCAGAGCGTTCTTTGTACCCTTCTGCAGAGTGACGGGGGAGGAGAGGGCAGTTAGATGTTGTGAGCGGTGCGAGAGGGTCGCTGAGAGGTAGTGAAATGGTCGCTGTCTTCACCTTATACCTAAAGCGCTCGGAATACACGGCTCGCATTGTTCATTTTTCCTTACTTTTCGATATAACCTCACAACATAGACCTTTGTATTCGTTTATACAGAAGACTATACTCACAAGTACCTATGTATCTATGTTCTAAATGGAAATTCATTTCCTAGCGCATTCTTATTCCTTTAATTTAATGAGGGATTCTGTCGCACTCTCATTTACTCTGTGCTTCTTGCGGCCTGGGCGAGTGTGGAAAACCTCGTGTCTCACCAACGCATGTTTAATTACAGCAAACCACGCGCAGCCACGCACAATGCTGTGGCAAATTACTTCAGCACCGTCCCGTGTGATTCCTGCTCTCACTCTCTGCTGCTGTGATGAATGCTGAAATTAATACATTCTTAATGCGTCCCGTTGGAGCGTGCTGGAATTAATTATCGCCTGGTTAGCACGTCCTTGAGATAGATTAGTGCCTAATCGAGGGAATTACCGCCGGATTGTTAGAGAAGAATCAGCAATTAAATGTGAGGCCGATCGAATGTCATCCCTTGTTCTCTTTCTGTAAATGGCTGGACTTAGCTTATAATCGTCATTTTGTGGCAAAGGTTAAGGTGATCTGCAAATTTATGTTAACTTAGTGACATGAACTGAGACAAGAACTGAAAAGTGAATATTGAATTATTGTGACCGTTCTTTCAGATATACCATTAGCAGATGTTGACTGAACACTTCAACACTCAATAGCGGCCAGCGCCGGAATTTAAATCATTATGGATAGTCTTGCGGATCACGGCATGTCTCGTAGCCGCCCCTTGCGTCCCCCTGAACGTTCCCATATTCCCACTCTGAACGTTTCCTTATTCCAGCCGTGAGTGTCCCCATATTCCTGCCCCCTGAGTATTCCCATATTCCTGCTCTGCGTCCCTCGAGTGTCCCCATATTCCCGACGGATGTGATAGAGGACATCATATCGTCCGCTCGTCCAGCCAGGATGGGTGACATCCATCAGGTAACCTCGGCCCCAGATTACACACAGCCGCCGGCGCCGTGTCGGCAAACACTGGCCGACGCGGCCAACAACTTAAAGCCGAGCCGTAAAGCCGAGCGAGGGAGAAAAACGAGAGCTAGATGCAACAGGCCATCCTAGGAGAAGCGTGGTGTGTTTAACAATCTCAGTGTTGAAACAAATAAAATGTCAAAGGAAAGCAGCGGATGTGAATCAAAGCATCAGTTTGTGGCAGAAATCAGCATACATTCGCTTCATATCGTCCTGGAGTGAGCCACATCGGCATATCAAATGAAACGGAGCGCACCAAACTGCGGACTCGTTCCTTTCAATGACTGGCGTGATGAATGGAGTGAGCGCGGCTGGCGCTGGCCACTGCGGCCTGTCGGCCGCAGGTTGTCAGCAATGGATCGATCGCGCTCAGAACCGCCGCCTCCGCCTCGGCAGGAGATGCTGCCGGCCGGACGGCCTCACCATCCCGTACAGCCGCCGCGCGCGACCGAACGCCCACGCAGCAGTATTTCCAACGCAGACCGGACCAATTTGAATCCGTAACCAGGACCGCGTATAGGAGCTCGACGCGGTAGCTTCTCTGTGTCAGCGATTTCACCATATCGGCTCGCTTCGTGTGGCTGATGGAAACATGTACTATGGAAATTTAATGATCTTATCGTTTCCTAAACTTTAGGGTAGATTACTCGATGTCATGGTATCGATGAAGCGAACAAGAATCTAAGTATTCGGGTAGTCACTAGCCTTGATCAAAAGAAATTGCTTGCTTATAAATATTTTCAGTTTCTTCAAATTATAATGTCTCCAGTTGCACACATAGTGGTTAATTTCTATCAGAATAAGAGATATAAAATTGATTTTCATATAACAACGAGACTCAGTGTAGCAACATAACTCGAATCGCTTTGCACGAAGCATAACCGTCTAGACAGACGATGCAAAATTCATTGTCAGGTCAAACAACACGCCCAGCGTCACATCGACTCCGGGCAGATGGGGTTCTGTTCACTGTTTGGCGTCTGTGGCCGGCGCCGTGGCCGCTGTGTCACTGCTGGTCGCAGGGCGCGCCGTTTCCAACTGCAGTGTGTCTCCGCGATTGATTTACAGCGACCCACATTCACAGGAAGACAGCGGAAGCGGCGGCACAGAAAAATATAGTGATGAAGTGGGCCCGACAATTTATGGCCAAACACCAATTCCACGGCGGGGGAGACCGACAAAGTCTCAGACATGTCTTAGAAGGGATCTCACGGTTCTACATCCTTAGAAGTCGTCGAACATTTCAGTAGAAATTATCGTCGTCACACTTGAGTGCGAATTCAATTATATTCGTTGACCTTTGAGCCGTGGGACAGGTGTGGCAGCGGATGGGGAGAGGGAGGGAGGGGAGAGGAGTGGGGCGGGCTTGTGGGATGGGAGGGGTTGGTGACTGGTTGCTGTGTTCGCGAGAGTCACACGACTCAAATTATCGCTATTCGGATCAGTGTTCAGTCGACGTGCATTGTTTTGTTAAGCGTCTCATGCTGCATGGCATTTATTTTATATTGTACCTTCTGTAAACCATGTCTTTCAAGTGTGTATAACACCTGTCTAGCTGCCAGTGGTTGACATACCGACACTATGATTGCAGTGTGCTCGCCGGCGCCGTTCGTCTTCGTTGATGCTCGACCTGACGGCCGTCGCCTCCGCCGCGGCTCCGCCGGGGGTGCGGGCTCGCCCGGTACAGCAACTTCATTCGGCCATCTTCGAGGTGTCAGCCGCCGTCCGGGCGCCGCCGCCGCCTGGGACCGCGGCCCGTGCAGGGACTTCCAGTACCTTAATCCAAGCCCACCGAGCCTCGACTAATCCCATCCAATCTGCGACATCTCCAAGCATACACTGTACCGGACATGACATACCCTTAAACCTGACTTTGACAAACTCTCAATGGACACGGCTTGGGCTCTACCTAAACATTCAAAAACTTTTGACAATGCACGGCATCGAAACGAACCCAGGGCCAACTGATAGGACAAATTTAAGAATTGTGCACATAAACATAAACAGCATTACTGTAGAAAATAAAAAAGAAGAATTGGAACAATTTATACAAACAAACAACGTGCATATTCTAGCGCTCACTGAAACAAAACTTGATAATACGATAGCAGACAGTCAATACATGTTGGAAGACTTCCACCCGCCTATAATAAAAAACAGAACGCGACATGGAGGGGGTGTGGCCCTCTATTGTCATAAATCACTACCAATACAAAGACTTACACATATTGAAATTGGGAACCAAGAGTGGGTATGGGCAAAAATCAAGGTCGCTAACTTCACACTTATCATTGGTTGTATTTACCTTCCACCCCACCTACCATCGGACCGACTGCAGACATTTATCGACACGTTTACCGAAGCAGCCTGTTTAGCACAAACTCACTCACCGACAGCCGTTATAACACTGGGAGACTTTAACACGGGAAACATATACCTTGACAGGTCCTTTAATCAGCACAGTGGCATAACCTCATTTGACTACAAAATTAAGGAAACAGCTGACATGCTTAACTTTAACCAATTAATTGATGAGCCAACCAGAGTAACGTATGATGTCGCAAATTTAAGAGACCTAATCTTCACAAGCAACACGGACATAATTCAAAACAGCGGCACACTGTCATCATTTGCAAACCTTGATCATTTCCCCATTTTCACCGAACTAGACACAACAATAATCGACAATGTCGAGAAACCACCAATTGTTATTTGGGAATATAGGAAAATAAACATTGACATCTTGACCACGACACTTACCGATACAAACTGGAATGACATAATTGAACAAGACATTGACACAGCCACCTCACAATTCATTACCAAACTACAAGACGCGGCAACAGAATCAATACCAAAAATAGTCATCAGACAAAAGCGCAAAGACAAGCCATGGATAACAAGCAACTTAAAACGCAACATTAGAAAAAGGGACAGACTCTTCAAGCTTGCAAAACAAACACAAACTGACTTCAACTGGACGAGGTGGCGATATCAGCGCAATTTAGTCACTGCAATGAGCAGACAACTTAAAAACGAATTTATTAAGAATCAAGTTGAAAAACTGATCGAGCAAAGACAAAACCCGTACAAGTATCATAAAACATTACGTACCGTCATAGGCAGATCTACTGACAAAGACATCCCACCACTGCTGACACAAACCGACAACGTGATTACTGACAACATGGAAAAAGCGACACTTTTCAACGACTACTTTGCTTCTCAATCAACTTTAGACGTATCTGACGCTCATCCACTTCCAGACACGAACAGGACAAATGCAAACATTCCACAACTACAGAACTTTACAACCAGTGAACAAGAAATACTTCAAATCCTAAATTCACTAGATGCAAATAAATCGACAGGCCCAGATGGATTACCGACTCGATTTCTTAAACTTACGGCAATTCTTATTGCGAAACCCCTATCACAGTTGTTCAATAAATCACTTTCTCTCGGAGTGTATCCAACTGAGTTTAAAACAGCACATATTAAACCAATATTTAAGAACAAAGGGTCACCATCAGACATTTCAAACTACCGACCAATCAGCATCCTTTCAGTCGTATCAAAAATATTCGAAAAAGTAGTCTTTAAAAATATATATAAACATTTAACTGATCACAATCTATTAACAGATAAACAAAGCGGCTACAGAGGAGGTCACAGCACCGAATTACAGCTTCAATATCTGACACAAAATCTCTATAAATCTTTAGACGATGGTGGAGATTTTACAGCGATATACTTGGACATCAGTAAATACTTTGATAAAATTTGGCACAAAGGGTTAATTTACAAATGTGAAAACGAATTTGGACTTTCAGGAACACTTCTCAATTGGCTAAAATCATATCT